TCTGGCCTAATTACCAGGGTGCACCCTTACTGGGAACTGCACTTCGCCGGTTCACACACGACTATAAAGAGTACACACATACGATTGCGTGCCCACCAACACACCGAAAGTTGCGACACGAGTGTCTCAGTTGTTGGAACCGAACTGGGGGCGTATGCACCAGCGCACATGGACATTTCCACACAATATTTTTGTGCCGTACTTCACACATATTGAACGGCCATTTTGGTTTCAAAGTCTGAAGCTGGCGATGCAATGCAGTACAGCTCTGCGAACAAAACGAACACTTCCCACAAACATGCCTATGTTAAACCGATGAGGGCGTGATTCTGCTTAAGGCGTAGACTGTGATTTAAAACGGAAAAAAAAGACTGCTGTCAAATATGTAGGAAAAAGGATTTGTAAAAATGAAACGAATAAAAGATAAAAAATGCACAATATGTTTCAGTCTCCATTTCAAAATCAATAGACTAATGATTCCTTTTTCTCTTTGAGTTTGAACCAGGGAGGATGAAATTTGTCAAAGGTATCCAGAATTACTCAGGGACTCAAAAGTTCAGTCAATTTCTGAACAGCTTGAATCAATTCTGCGGTTGAATTCGGAGGTCAGACTGAGTCAGCTTGAATAACGGAATAATCAATTATTTGACCCTCCATTCGATCGAACATGAAAATACTTGGTTGTACCAGATCTGCACAAGAACAGAAACAAAATTTACTTCTTTATACCAAAAGTAAGAGAACAACAACAAAAATAATTGAAGTGACAGTAATTTTTTGCATTTGGGTATAGGCGTTCAATTGCCCTTATATTTATTTCATGACATCTTGAAATATGTTTCTAACCAAATCACAGGATATCCCCTTTCTCCCAGTGAGGTTCACCTCCAAACAGTGCATTTTTCGAAAATATGAGCATGACGCTCCGGGTCCGTCATCCTTGACTGAGCCCAGTCAGTCCTTGGGCCGGGAATTGAAGTACACGAACACCACTAAGGCCACAAAGAGCGCCCCCAGGGTGGGGAGGACCACACGCAGGACGTTGCGCTTGTTGTCCCGGTTCTCCAGCTTGCGCTGCCGCTTCTCCCGCCGCGACTCCTTCACCTTGCCCTTGAGTTGCCGCATCCCGGCGTGGGTGTTGGCATTTGTTGGAGGGAGGGTGTGTTCTGAGGGTCACTCTGAGGGTCTCCCGTGAGGGGCGCACCTGTGACGAGCAGGTTGTTGAGGGGGATGGGTGTGGCTGACAGGCAAGAAAAAAAAAGAAAGAAGGAAGAAGTATCGTTGACCTGTTTGGACATGGAGTCAAATATAACTTGGCGTGTCCATCTGTGCCAAGTGCACTCTTCAAAGACAGGATCTTACAGGTGAAGCCCATGCCAGCTGGGTCTGCATACAGTGTACAAGGGACTCCCAAATACTAAGTTAACGGCCCCAACCAGCAGATAGTTCAAATTACACGCAGTCTGAATGGCTGGAACCCTATGTGATGCCTCAAACCAAATCATTTTGACATCTTCTAGGGACAGGTCCTAGTAGGGTCTCTGGGCCATTCGATTTAACCCTCAGTATAATACACTACACTGACATGTTGAGTGACCGATTTTGATTGATTGGACAGCCTTGTGTTGAATGCACACTTGTATGGAATATTCATGTCCTACTACTGGTCAGGAACCACACAAGTAACATATCGACTCAACCATTTTGCAGGGGGGGGGGACAGTGACATCAGGGCACCCAATACATGCTGTCATACACGTTGTTAAGCTAGCTGTTTACACATGTTTGAGAAATATGTACTTCAGGGAGTGATAATATATTGCGAAGATTTGGTTGTGAGACAAATATAGTTTCTGTTTTCCATGCAATTCAGGGATTTATTTATCGCCAAATGGTCGAGCCGATATGTGGTTAACGTGGTTCCCTGACCACAGATTTTTCAGACGTCTCTATACATAATCTTAGCGGGAGTTGTCGGAATTGGAGACTGGTATCCAAAGCAACGTAAGCGTTCATTACTGGAATACGCTGCGCCTGTTTTTGTCACATGACGTACGGCCACAGGGAATGTGCAATGGACGTGTGCGGCTAGTCAAGGGATGGGAGGTAAGGATTATAGAAAGAACCTCATTTTTTATCAATAATATTAGTTAAATGCTACAAAATACAATCGTAACAGAAGTTCCATATGTTAAGGTCTTTCAGGGGAGATTTGCTCAAGCAAGCGAAATCAGATATCTTATCGGGTAGGCTAACTGGACAGCTTTCAAAATGCCACAGCGTGTGAAACCATAAAAAGATTGCTTCGGTAAGGTCTATGGAGAAGTACCTTACCGTTTGGGAAGTGGGGCATGTAATGCTGTAGGCCTATGTAGTATGTACATGGACTAGGCCTAGGTCTCGGGGTAGCCTAATGCTTGATTATCTTCATGCTTACCCTCCTCCAGACTTTTATTGCTCTCGAAAGGAAATGCTTAGCTAGCAAATAGTAAGTTTCAACAGTTGTCTGGTACTGGTAGTACCGTTGGAGTCAAAACGGTAGCACAATTTTCGTCGTAGTTTTTTCATTAAAACAGCGACGCAGCGTTGCGTGTTACATGTTTATCGGCCATGATGTCCTGCATGACAACTCATTGAGACGTCTCGGTACCCCGGGCCCGCCAGGGCCGGGAGGGAAGGAACCCGCTTCGATGGTGACAGGTTATAGCGCCCTCCCGCTTCCTTACGATAGACGAAGCACTACACAACCTGATCTACTGTTGTAACGATAATATGAGATAAGGTCTGGATTAGATGAATAGACAAAAGGACAAACGTTTACTCAAGAGAACAGATAACAAACATTTTTAATGTAAGGACTCAATGTGTAATTTTATTCCAATCTTACCATTACTGCGAATAATTGTGCTGAAATTATTGCAAGTCACTAAGAAAGCCAAAGCATATAAAAAAAAAGAAAAAAAAAAGACTAAAAAGAAAGTTGTATCCTTTCACGTACCGAAAATCCAATAAATACATGCTTAAATTCTGATTCTGAATCGGAAACAAGCGGCGCATCCCATCAGGTTTTTCTTGGGCACTTCACAAGAAAGTTGGCAACCACGTTTGCACGTTTCGAAAATGCAGTCAAACTTAGTTCCTATTATACACCGAACATTCGAGAAATGACATGGTTGAATACGGGCATTTCAAAATAGTACGCCTCCAAGAGTTTGTAACGCGTTGGCCCATAACAACTCGCGAAATCTGTCGACCCG